ATGGTTTATAATCCTTTGCAGTTGGGATTGGGTTCTTAATTTAAAATAGACAGCCATATATGTTTTACATTTTGCAAAAAAGAATCGAATTGGTGATTTTGACAGATGTTTTAACGGCCAGTGTTAAAGTTATTTTTGTATTAAATACTCCTTTAAAATGCAGTTTCAGCTTTGACAAGTGTAATCTTATGTTGTAAATTAATATCGACTAGAAAATTATTTATTAAAATTATCAGTGCCATAAAATAAAGTAAAAGATTATCGTAATTAAATAGCTATTTGAATTAACGATGTTTACTAAATGACGAGATCTCAATTTAATTTAACGTCCTAGTTATCTAGTCATATAATATTAAGTACTGCTACTATCTTAATAATTTAGATGAGCAATAATAATAGTAATAGATGCTGTAATAAAGATCTACAAAAAGATAGTACAAATGTTGACGTGTTAACATAGCTTTGAGAAGGTTTAAAGTAAATTGTAATGTATTTTTGCAATTAAAGCAACTTAACGAAGTTTATTGTAAAATACACTATAAAACTGTATTATTTGTATTTACAGTTACTTTACTGTTCATCAACTATATGTAACTTAATATTAACAAATCTAAATTTCTTTGTAGCTATACAATTACTAAAAAACCCTACAAATTTTTCCCCGTCACATCAACTCCAAGAACACAGTCTCAACAAGATAGCAAACAAATAAAGCCACAAAAATCATTCCATAATAATTATTGCACCAATTTTTTGTTCATACTCGTACCAACATATAAAATGAAGCAAGTAAGTGTAGCAAAGAGATGAAAAAACCGGCTACATGTCGCGTAAGTGATCGATATTAAATAAGACAGGTCTGTCCGTTACCTAACTCTACGCACGTATCGCAGTGAAAGCGAAATTTTTTAATTACTTTTTTTTAATACAACAAATGACACAGCGTTTCTTTTTAGTCTGTAGAGGGAACGGTGTTTATAATTGTTGTTTTTTTGTGGCATTTGAATTGAGAATTTTTTAAATTTAGTTCGTAATTTTAAAATATTGATGTTAACATAAA